GTTATTACTCTAGAGCTCCGATACATTGAAATTAATACTTTGTCTAGAGCAAGAACTGTTTAGTTAATAAAAACTTGAGCAATAACTCACCTTTTGACTTACTCGACAACCTTATCGAGCCGCCATTTTAATGTCACGCAACGCATAAACTTGTAAATTCCGACGTGCTCTATTACAAACTGACGAACCCTGTCGGGCTTAAACGTTGCAAAACATCAAGTTATTAGAGGGTCTTACATCTGATGAAACTAAAACTTCACAAGGATTGGTAATTTCTTATTTTGGAAATTGATGACGTCACATGAAAACCAGCAATATGTTTCGGAACATTGAGTTACTTTATGCGTAAGAATTTCCCCTGCTTTAATTTCTTCAATCGTGTTATGACGTGTGGAATTCATGAAAGTTAGTCGATCAAAACACATTAGGGTATGTAAGGCCTTTGAAAAAGAGCGGTCTGTCATGACAGATCGCCATTAATGTGACTGCTGCTGTTATTGTTTTTGATGTTGATTGTTCTTGTGTTTTGCAGTTTGTCATAACAGAGCGCCATTAATTTGTACTGCTGCTGCTGCTGTTGTTGTTGTTGATTATTCTTTTGTTTTGCAGTCTGTCATAGTCTGTCATAACAGAGCGGCATTGATTTGTACTGCTGCTGCTGTTGTTGTTGATTATTCTTGTGTTTTGCACTCTGTCATAACAGAGCGCCATTAATTTGTACTGCTGTCGTTGTAGTTGTTGTTGACCATTCTTGTTGTTTTGCAGTTTGGCGCAGAAGATCGTAGCCACCTACCAGTTGTGTTCAGAGCAGCTCTCGTCCCAGTCCCATTATGATTACGGCATGAGAGCGGTCAAGTCTGTGTTAACCGCTGCTGGGAATCTGAAGCTGCGTTACCCAGATGATGATGAGGGTGAACTCATGTTAAGAGCTGTGCTTGAGGTCAACCTCGCTAAGTTCTTGGCGCAGGTAGAGTTTACTGTTGCTTGATTTTGTTTGATTAATTATTGCAGTCAAACCAAGTGTAGCATACCCCTCAAGATTTCATTAATGAATTGATTATTTGAATATTGAACCCGTTAGTCGTATTTTTTGATCCAACGACTAGCGGGTTCAATTTTCAAATAATCAATTCATTGAAGTAATCTTGAGGGGTACGCTTCACTTCGTTTGACTGTAATCTGTTTGTAAAATCTTGGAATATTTGGTGTAAAATTTCAAGTGTTATCATTCTCAATTTTCACAATTCTTCATTAACCTGACCATTTTTTAAACTTCATCAGCATTAGTCCCTCTGTAGAGGCTTTTTCTTATTTCTGCGTAAGCAAATGTTATTTTGATGTTTCCTTTGATTTGAAGAAAAATCACCTGCATTAGAAATGTCTTTTATAAAGAATTGTTAATAAAGAATTACTTGACCACTTTAAGCTACTCATTCTTAAAAGATTGTCATTGACGTTATCAACTTTTGTAGAATGGGTGTAAAATACTTCTATGCCGTGTTCTCTTTACTTGGTTGCTTGTCCGGTGTCTAACAAAGCACAATCGTTTTCTAAATCCACCTCTTAGTCTATCTAGTCGCAAGTTGAAAACAAAAAGTTTTCAACTCTCTAGAGTGACCACGTGGGAAGCGTTTTAAGTATTATTGTTTTTAAACGAGCATTGTAGGCTAACATTAGGTTTACCGACGCGAAACAAACTGTTCAGCTCAAGCATATTTGAGCAAATCTCTTCTTTTGTCCTCAGGATGTGCCTCTATTCGAAGGAATCATCTCGGACTTGTTTCCTGGTACCAGCTGGCCCAACCCAGACTATGGAGTGTTGATGGACGCTCTCAGAGAAAACTGCAAGATACGTAACTTACAGGCAACAAAATGGTTCCTCAAGAAGATCATACAGGTATGTTCTGTGACAAGTGACACTTTTTTGTGTTATTTGTTTCTTGTAAGGGTTTATTATCCAACCAATGGTAACGATTAGATCTCAGTAGAAGTCATTTTCAAAAGATGCCTGAAACAAAACCAAGTTTTTATGGGAGTTGTAAAACGCGAAGACAAGCGACAAAACAGATACTTATAAAATTTTTCTTGGTCGCTACAAAGATGAAACTTCTTTCTTTCGAGAAATTATTTTCTAAACTCAATAAGACATAGTGCTTCTACGCACCAGAACTCTAAAAGTTTGGTATGTTTCGGCATGACATCATAGAGAGTTTTAGGTTGTCTGAGAGCAACGTTCGCCTGAATCCTTGTAACTTACTGACAGATACAATGTTTACTGTAAACGTTCCTTAACCTCCTTGACGGGAGTAATATTTCGCATGTAAAATTTTTATTTGTTGGGTATGTATAACGACTCATCGTCTAATGACTGCATGAAACCTGCATTTGATTATCGAATTTTTGTTGTAAGTTTTGTTCACAACTTGAATAAGTCATGTTTTCTTTTGCAGCACGTTGTAGAATTGTTCTCTCCTCTGTCCCTCCGTGCAAATAAAACTTAATTGTCTCAGTTTTGTTGTGAGCTGTCCTGGGTTATTTTGAGAGCATTGTTTGTATTTCATGATTGCTTGTCCTTTGTAGGTCTATGAAATGATGATTGTCAGACATGGTTTCATGATAGTGGGAGATCCATTGGGAGGAAAGACCATGGCTTTTAAGGTGAACTGCCATCTTTGCTCTGTCTTTTGTTGTTTTGTTTATTCGTAACGATACAGAAAGGAACAGCCGACGAGCTTATGTACAGTATAAAGAAATGACTGGCAACAAAACATAGCTTCATTGCTGATCAGTTGATCTCTTTAGGTGCTTGCAGATGCAATGTCAGATCTTCAAAAAGCAGGATATCCCTACCAAAGGGTAAGTAATAGGCTTAACTAAAGATGTTCACCGCATGATACATGATGCTTAATCAAACATTTTTATTAAATGCATTAGGAGTTGATATATGAAGCAGTAGCTTCAGATTGAAACTATATTATTGTTGACTGCATTAGCAGTAGACTCACATTTTGAAAATGCAAAGCTTTTTTTGTTGAATACATTGGTAGCAAAATCCCGGGTATATTTTGGTTGAATATATTGGCGATAAACACGTTGATTTATGTTGAAAACATTCGCAGGAGGCACAATATTAGCTCTAGACCCCTTGAACCTTCTGACTTACTATTGCTTGCTTTTTAACTTAAACTTAACTACTGCATGTAGTTAATTTTTCATGTTTCTTGCTGTTAATCCTGCTATCAAGAAAAGAAGAAAACTTTCTAATTTGTATCTCCACTTCAAGGTGATTTACAAGATTATCAACCCCAAGTCAATAAGCATGGGTGAACTGTATGGCTGCTTTGACCCAGTCTCCCACGAGTGGTCAGACGGTGTTCTGGCTAACTCCTTCAGAGAGCATGCGTCGTCCACTACAGAGGACAGGAAGTGGCTGATCTTTGACGGGCCTGTAGATGCTGTGTGGATTGAGAACATGAATACTGTGTTGGACGACAACAAGAAAGTAAGTCACACTGCAGCTTAAGGTGGCTCAAAACAGTTTCCAGCAGTTAGATTTTGATGGGTCACACTTCATCACTTGATGCTTCAATCATGGTATCACAAAACTGCCCAATGATGGGTGAACACGTTGTTACCATTTTCGTGACACAATAGGTTACCATAACAACAGTATGACCTGCTAACCCTTAATTACAGCGTTAAAGCTTATACTACAAAAACGGCACGGTGAAATTTTTTTTATATTATCAAATTTTAATAAGCATGATAAGACGCAACTTTTGGCAAAATTTCAAAAAATCTGTACATAGGGTTCAGAGCCACATTAAAGTTTTGAAAATTTTTTCGAAAACGCGATTAAAAACCATAAAAAGTGTTTTTTGTTGTTCAAAAAATGTGTCTTGTGCTGCGTATTCAATTCAGTGTTGTCTCTGAACAATTTAAAGTGATATCAGTAAAAGGGCAACATTTGTTGTTGGAATGTTATCTTACCGTATATATACTTCTTTGAAGAATTTCAAAGTGATGCAAAACAATTTTAAACTCTCTAATATGACTACTTGTTATGGATTGTAAGTGTGTTTCTAACGCCTAACTTAAATTTCGCCAAGCATAGATGGTTTCTCAAGCTTACATTAAATCACTGGAGGATTTTTTTACAGCGATTTTCAACTATCGTAAAACCAAACCCAAAAAAATTACGTACCAATTAGACTACTCGGTCAATCTCAAACCGTAGTAAAACCAAACCAAAACAAAACCAAAACCAAAGTAATTACCTCATTACGTTCCACACTTGATTGAAAACTGCTCTAACCACAACTAAATGCTTGCTTTTTGTTTTAGTTGTGTTTGATGAGTGGTGAAATCATCCAAATGAACAACAGACAGAGTTTGATATTTGAGCCAGCAGATCTGGAACAAGCTTCTCCTGCTACAGTCAGTCGGTGCGGTATGATCTACCTTGAACCACACCAGGTAAGGCTTGTATAAAAATTAACATCTTATATAGTGCAGAAAACTGCAAACCTGATCTGACAAACTCGGATAGAAGTAACAAGCATGAACTGTATACATAATGAACAAAGTGTACGTGGAGTCGTCTTGTTTTTTTGTTTATTTTTTATTTTTTGCCATTTATTAATATATTTACAAAATATCAATGTATAAGGCAAGGAAGTAAGGCTTATGTAAAGGACCATCTTAAAGATACCTTAAACTTAATAAAAGAATAAAATTGCTGACATGGGCACACAAAGTGAGTGACCGCTGAGTGTATTTCATATTCCAGATACATCTTGCAGGGTAATTTTGTCTATTTTTGTGGAGATGGTGGTACTTGTTTAGTTATAAGATTGATTTGATTACTTGAAACATCGCTACTGTGCCCTAAACTACAACTCTATATCATTTATACGCATTTTGCATATGCACCAGCAACGAGCAGGCTTCGAAACTGATATTGTATAATAGCGGCTATCCAAAATAATATTAAATGCTATCCATTGGGTTGTTTTTAATATTTTTAAAATAATTTTTTGTCAGCTTGGCTGGGAGCCTTTAATGGAGTCCTACATGAACACGCTTCCCAAGAGTCTGAATGCTGAGCATGTGGAAACCATCAGAGCTCTGTTCATGTGGCTTGTACAACCATGCCTGTGTAAGTTGTAGTTGTTTATACACCTATTAAAGCATCGTGTGTGTTTGCACATCTCCGAGTAAAGTACCAATTACATTGTGTACAGTTGTCTGTCCACATCTGGATATCTACATCTACTTAAGGGGTTTCCTGTACATTGATATACTCATCACTGCAAGACTAAAGGGTAAAAAAAGAGGGGAGCCAGTGTCGCATTAAATTATTTCACGTCCATGTGCAATCATGAAACCACTATCAGAAGATATTGGGGCTATCTTGCCATTTCTCGTCTGTTTAACTTAAATGCTAACCAAAGAATGCTTGGGCAAAACAGTTTCACTTCTATGGTGAAAATGCTCCAAACGACTGGAGTGAATTCGCCACTTTACAAACGAGAAGAAAACTGGGAAACGAGTAAACTCGTAGTGGCTTGTGGGGTTGTCAAAAGACAAAAGCTATATTGTCCCCAGTAACGATATCACAAGCCACTGCGAAATGAGACTCGCCCTGGATTTATTCCAGTTTCTAAAGTGGCGATTGTGTGTTGGGGAAATTCCACTTGTTATTTGACATACGTAGTACAGTTTGAATTCTCTTATTACCAGGAGTATCTAATCGATGATCAATGACATCAATGAATAATCAGTGAGTAATCGATGGGTAATCAACTGATTATTCATTGGTTATTGGCGATGATCAATGAGTAATCGATGAGTGATCGAAGCCCAATAATTTTGTGGCCTATCAATTACTCATCGATGTCATTAATTACTCATTGATGACCTATTTATTGCTCATCAGTTACCGATCGATTACTCATCGACTATCATTCTGCGATAATAGGCGTTTTGCATGATGTCGAGACATGTAGATGATCAGTAACCGCAAATACAGATTTGCAACATTTCACTCTATTTATTAACAAAATAGCCGAACAGTAACCAGTCTAAAAATGGCACTTATCGATGTAATCAATGACTAATCGATGACTGAAAATTTTGTGGCCTATCGAATACTCACTGATTACTCATTGATCATCGGCAATAATCAATGACTAATCAACTGATTACCCATCGATTACCAATCGAGTACTCGTTGATGTCACTGATGCCATCGATTAGATACCCCTGGTTATTATTACCTTGATTGACTGGGTAAATAGTTTCTCTTTAAATCAACAAGATCAACCTCTTTTCAGCTTTTCTCCGTCACGAGTGCAAGTTCTTTATCAATACCTCCAACATGCATCTTGTGAATTCCTTCATGAATCTCTACACGTGTTTGCTGGATGAGATCGTCGCGCAGGAACACGCGGAAGGCGCTGACAGAATGTCAAGCTCACAGGTGTGCATGTCCTAATCATGTGGCATGACATGACGTGACGTGACGTGACGTGACATGACATGACATAGCGTGAAATTTGAAATTGTTGACATTTTCTTTACCGATTGCCACTCATTTATTGTAAGTTTTGAGAAATAATTATTTAGCTTTTAGTCAAAGAACATTCCCTGATTATATTAATATTTTTCTTTTGTACCATGACATGCTTTCTTGGAAATGTATAGATAGTTCAGTTATGAGAAAAAAAACAAACAGGATATTTGAATTAAAGGATGGAGTTAAGTTGAAGTAACAGAGTTGTTGAATTAATTCATCTTGGACGTAAATTTAATTTACGCCCAAGCTTGATTAATCTGGCAACTTTGTATGAATACTGCCTTTTCAACAGACCAGCCACTGTCTAAACATGCCACTAACCAGAGAGGTTTTCTTTCACGCATTACAACTGCCTAATCAAATAACTGTAGTTGTTTTCATTAAAGTGGTACTATGACGAAAATCGCATCTTTCCTATTTAAGCCATTTTAAAACATAGGCAAGTAGTCTGTACGAGGAGAAAAACGCTGTTTACTATTTTCAAATACCTCTTTTCGTTCCAGAGATATTCAAGTTTTTAAAACATGCGACTTAGCTAAGTGATAACGTCAACGTCATTAACTCAACTGGATTTTGATCAAATACGACGAACAAAGATATCTCAGCCAATTTGAATCAGAAATGTTTGATTCTTAGCAGTATGATTCTACCAGAGGTACTTACTAGGTGCTCCACAATACGAACCCATCATTTTTGTTACCATGACAACATACTGGGTTCCAAACCTCCCCGATATTAAAGGCTTTTATGGCCACCTGTAGCGTTTTATATTGATGTTTGCCAATGGTACCTGATCTGCATGATCCAGCAAGCATATAAATATGTTAGGTCGAAATCGTGGTCTTGTTTAATGTTTTTCAAGCTGAAAATCACTAAAATATTGAAATCACGTCGGAGGGGACTGGAAAAGAGTGGGTTGCCCTGGGAACTCGGAAATGTTTATATCCATAGGTGTGTTGCATGTAGAACTATTAGCCTACCAAGTTTCAATGGCTTCGCTGCAAATTGACCGCGATCGCTCTATTTGTATACTTGATGTAATATTTGGTTGAGTTTATGACGTCATCAGTCATTCATTAGCATATTTTACACATTTTTCAAACTTAAATATCTCCGGACCCAATGTAGATATTTGCAAACGGATAATGGCGTTTTCAGTCTTTCGTGGACTTCTGTGTGATTAACCTAAAAATTCAAAGGGTAAAAATTTGATCGTACTATCACTTTGAGCCAACGTTATTTAATCTTTGCGGGTGGACTGGAGTAGGCCCTCATTCTTTTGCAATCGATCTTTGAGAGTTCACTCTTTGCCCATAGTAATTACGTGTGAATATTTTGAGATTTGGTTGCCTACTGTTTGTGGTGCTTGTTGTCCGGGCTCATGTGCAATTAGCAAATGTTGCTGGATCAATTCAATGCTTTCTTGTTTTGCGCAGATAACCAGCTGGCTTCAGTGCCTGTTTATCTTTGCCATGGTGTGGTCCATTGGTGGAACAATCAACGGTGACAGTCGGAAGAAGTTTGACGCTTTTTTCAGACTGTTGATTAGCGGTACGGATAAGGACCATCCCAAACCAAACAACATCAAGATGACCAAGGTAAAATAACCACTTCATTTTCGGTTGAGTGTAGAGGAAAATAGGAAATTGAGATCATAAAAGCTGTGGAAAATCACTAATTTCAATGTTATATTAAATAACAAAATGCATAAAAATCCAGTGTTACAAACGTTTCTTGTCACGTTATGTCAAAAGCACACTTATATTTGGTGTATTTTCTCAAATTCCTGGAGCACAAGTTTTAGTCCAAGAAATGATCTGAAGCCATACGTAAAAAACTCATGATACATCGGAAAAATATCGAAAGAGCTAGTGCTTTTACACGTATAATATTTCGTGTCAGCAAGTCGCCAACTTTGTCTTTCTTGACTTTTTTTTCATGAGGAATTAAATGCTGTTTGCTTATCTCTTACAGCAAAACGTGTTTCCTGATCGTGGTACTGTGTACGACTTCTATTTCGTAAAGCAAGCCAGTGGCTCATGGAATAACTGGATTGAAAGAGTGGATAAATCTAAAAATGTCATTCCCAAGGATGCTAAGGTAAATATGG